CACGCAGAGGTTGAGGCGGCCGTTGACACACCTCGTGGGTACTGGGGCGGGGATGTGTTCCAGCTGAGCAACTTGCGGCTTGACTGTGAACTGGAACTTGCCATTGATCAGTGGTGGGTAGGCTGCTACATCTTGCGGGTTCGCCGTGCGAAGCCAGCTCCATTCGAGTGCGGGATCGTAGGTGAGGAGGCTGGTGATGCAATCAAAATAGGGCCTACGCCTGGGCTGCAGCCCCGCCTCTTTAGCAATCACGTCCGCTGCTTCGTTCCAAGGTGCACCTGAATGACCTTTGGTATGTTCAAAGCGAACCGACCTCTGGCGTCTGATCTCCTCGCAAAGGATGGACGTCAGTCTAGAAAGATCATGGTGCGAAGAAATCATCTGGGTGCCGTCCGCCGTCCCCAAGGCGGAGGTGTTGTCACCAACGAACACACAAGGCATCCCGTCCTGCAAAGCGATGGACGCAATGAGCGCCCAGAGAATACCAGCTAGCTCCACGACTGTACTAGAAGTGGGGGCTCCCAACTCCGGTGGCACTGAGTCTGCGTAGTTACCCACGAGGTGCCCAAGGTAAGAGAAACCTTCGGAGTCTTGTGCGATATGAATCACTGCCCAGCTGGCCGTAGAAGGTACCTTCATATCGAAAGCGGCGTCCATGAAAAAAAGATGTACCTGCGGAACAATCGGCCTGACTGGGGCGAGGTACTGCAAGGCCAGGCGAGTGTGCTCATGCAAATCGTGTCCCAAAATATCATGCTGCCAATCTAAGGTATTGATGTTCCTGGTGATGTCATCAACCAAGGAACGAAGCTGTCCGATATTGCACGACCGCTGACCGCTGCTCCCCGATGGGACATCAACTGCCAGGTGGTGCTGCGTCGCGCTGCCAGGCACTGGGGCCAATGGCGCTGTGCTATCAACAGGAAGACTATGTAGAGGTGCCTGAGGTCGAAGAGCGACAGGCTGAAGATGGGCCGCAGTTCCCTGGACTAGATCATCCCCAGGTGGCTGTTGCGGCTGGTGCTGAGTGACAGGCCCTGGTGGAGCAGGCTGCACGTCCTGAACGTCATCGCTCGCCCTCAGCGTGACACCAGGCTCCAGCTCCACGGGGAAGTTGGTCCCATGTGTAGGGACCTCTGAATTCTGTATGCTTGCATCTGGCCAAAATGGCAGTGCTGCCCCTTTCTCCGTCGCGCTCGGAGGGCAGCTGGTTGACACGGGACAGGGCACTGCCCGCTCGGTCATTGGCCTGGCGTGGCTGGGGGGTGGCGTAGCTCCGGGTGTGTTTCGCCCCGTTACGCTTTCGCCACAACCCCTCGCAGAGGTAGGCGTAGCTCCAGGTGTATTTCGCCCAGTTACGCTTTCGCCCCCAGCCTCTGCGCCCACGCCAGCCGCTGCGCGATCGCTGATCGGGGTCAGCCGAGGGAGGCCTTGGCCTCCTTGGCACGGCGCAGGTCCTCCAGCCCCTGCTCCCTGGTCTGGAAGAGCTTGCCCCTGGCCCCATGCTGCAGCAGCCTCTGCTTGACATGCTGCTGCTTGGTCTGGCAGGTCGATGATCCCCCTGCCGATGCCGAGCTCTCGTGACCCTCGTCCGCTGACCCTGGCGGGCGGCTGGCCGAGCTGGCTCCTCGAAAAACTGGTGTTCCTGTAGCCGTGAGGTCCAGGAGGGTGTCGCGCAGCGTGGCGTCTGACAGGCCTGCCGACGATGGCCCCGCAGATGCAGTGCTGTCCTTACCTTGTGATGGGGAGTTGGAGGCCACGCTGACTGGCTTGCCAGGGGCCGCTTGATGCTGCCGCCTCCCCTGCAGGCGGGCCTCGACGCCCGGGGAGGCGGAGACCGACTGGGCAACATCGCGGCGCCCGCTGCTCTCGAGGGCCAGGGCCTGCTCCAGCTTCTCCTGTCTGGCCAGGGCGGAGCCTTCGCCGTCTGCCTCTGGGGTCCCAGGCAGCCACCAGCGCGGGTCCACTGGCTGCGTTGGGGAGAGGACAGCAGGCCCCCCACCCGAGGATCCCTGGTCCGAGGGCTGAGCTGGGGATAGGCTGTCGTTCAACTCTCCCGTGGAGCCCTGCCCTGGCGGGAATTGGGCGGGAGCAGCCACTGAGCCCCAGTGAGCCTGCACCTGCTGCCAGTCAATGAAGCATTGCCCAGCTCCACTCGGCTGGTCAGGCAGCCGCGCAGGCGCCTCCGCCGGTGGAGTTACCTCGATTGGGGAGTCGGCTACTGGAGTATCCGTCCCATTGGCTTCCTGCTGGCACGTCTGGGCAGGAGGGGTCTCACCCCAGGATTTCCCTTCGTCTGAGTGGGTGGCATTCCTGGGAGCCATACCTGCCAGCGATTCCGCACTTGCCGAGTCTGGTGCGACCTGAGGTGGCCCCACCTTCCCCTGCGCTGCCTCTCGACTGCGGTGGATCCTGGCAGCGGCCTCCTGGAGCTCCTCCTGCTGCAGGGCCAATTCCTCTCGCTGGAACTGCTGTGCGATGGTCTCCTCCTCGAGAAGCAGGTCCGCATTGAGGACGCGCGCCCTGATGTGGAGTTGCTCGGCCTCGGCTTCGGACAGAATCCTCTGCTCCATGCGCAACCTGTCGGCTTCCTGCAGGATGGCCATGGCTGCCTCCCGTTGCTGGCTGGCGTGTCGCTGCTGGGCGTGTCCAGCTGCCTGGGCTTGCTCCAAGGCTGCCTGCTCCGCGGCTTCCTGGGTGCTTCGAACCATCACCTGGCGGGCGGCGCGGGCTTCCACCTCCAGCTGTTCCATAGCTTGCTGGAACCTCCGGCGCGCATGAATCTCCAGCTCCTCGTACTTCCTCTGCTCCTCACAGGCCCGCTGTTGCTGTTGTTCAATGATGCGACAGTTCGCCTCGTCCAGCTCAGCTGCAGCTTGCTGGCGGGCGTCGAGGTGCGTGGCAACCGAGTCTGACTGAGCCTGGAGCTGGCTCGAGCGCTCTGCGAGGAACCTGCATTGCTCTTGAAGTTCAGCCCGCTGGCGAAGAGCCTGCTCGTTGGTCTCCTCCAGCTGCATGGCCTCCTCCAAGCGTGCTCTCAGGGCGGTCTCCAGCCGATAGTCGTGCACTTGGTGCTGCTGCGTAACCTGTGAGATGGCCATCTGCTGCGCCTCCATTCTGGTCCTCTGAGCGGTCTCGGTCTGGATGAATTCCTTCTGCTGCACCGCTAGCATGCGCTCGCGCTCCTCCAGCTCCTGCTGCATACGCTTGACACCCCAGTTCTGCTCTTGGAACTCCTGCTGCATGCGCAGCTCCAAAGCCTGGCACTCCTGCTGCATGCGTGCCGACAGCTCCAGCTGCTGGGCCTCCGCAGCCTGGGGGGGAGCAGGAGGGACCACGCGCTGCTGCTGACACTGTGACTGGATGCTGTCCATGCGCTGGTTGAGCTGTCTGATGGCCTGGGCGACCTCCTGGTTGAAGAACTCGGACCTGCTGCACGCCGCCGACGCCATCTCCACCTGCTTGCAGGGCGAAGGCTGAGAGAGGTGTTCCTTCTTGACCGTAAGTAGCTGGCGGGACATGCCTCTCGGCGTCTGCCCAGCGCCTGACGCAGCAGCTGGTCCTGGATCAGCCTGGGCGGCAGCCCCTGTGGCGGAGGTGCGCCAGGGAGCTCCCGTCGCCCACCCCTTGGGCGCCGCGGACGGCTGCGCGCTGGCCTGCGTGGGCTGCTCATCGGGCACATCGTCCTCCTCAGAGGTGAAACCAGGCTCCAGGTCCTGAGCCATCAGCTCCTGCTCTTGATCATATACCTTGGCGATCCTCACCTCCAGCAACATCGCTCTCTGGTGGAGCTGCTTCTGCTGCACGTGGATCGCGTTCAACTCTGTGTTCATGTCGAAGCGCAGCTTGGTCAACTCAGGCAGCTGCACTCCCTTGGGCTTCAGCATGAGTAGTGCCGTCTTCAGCATGCTGAGTTCCTGCTCTTCAAGTGCTGACTCCTTCTGTGCCCGCCTGTTTGCCTGCACCACGTCCAGCAGCCGCTTCGCCCTGGCCACCAGTGATGCCTTGAATGGCGCCCTCAGCGCGGCCTGCTCTGGCGCAGGCGGCTCCCTCCACTCCTTGAGGCCTCGCGCCTCATCCAGTGTCAGGAAGCCCACGTCTTTGAAGATGGCGGCATGCTCCTGGCTGAACACCTGCTGCACCTTCTGCTTCTTGCCTGTCTTGCTGCCTGAGGCCTGACGACCTGCAGCTGGGGCTTGGCCTGTGGCTGTCCTCGGCGGTCTCCACTTGAATCCACATCTGCAGTGCCACATGCTGTTGGGGACGGGTGCCCCACAGCCGCCGCACTGCCACTTGTGCTTCGGCAGCGCCATCACCTCAGTCGAGTGCTGAGCCGAGTGGTGACTCCCCAGCAGCCGTGCCGCGTCCAGGACGCGCAGTAGTGTCCTAGCAGCGCTGCGGCGGGAGCGCTCCCGCCTGTGCCAGCCTCCGTCGGCCGGCGTTGCCAGGGGGGCGCCGCGAGGCGCGCGGCCGCGAATGGCGGCCCTCTCGGAGACAGGGAGGCGACGGTGGCCTCCGAGAGGGCGCCGCGCGGCGCGCTTGGGGCCCGGCCCCGAGGTCGGCCTGACCGCGAGCTGGACCGGGCGGCGGCGCCGATTGCCCGATCCGAGCCGATCGATCTGGCCCCAGACCTCTGAGGGCCAGAATGCCTTCCTCCTCCCCTCCTCCTCCTCCTCCTCCTCCTCTTCCTCCTCCTCCTCCTCCTCCTCCTCCTCCTGCACAAACATAATTACACTTTCCTCCTCCTCCCCTTCCTCCTCCTCCTCCCTTCCTCCTCCTCCTCCAAATTAGAGGGCGTACGACTGCACAAACATAATTACACTTTCTGAGCTCCGCGCCGATCCAGGACATCTGCACAAAACTCTGGCTGTTCGTGCTTCGAGTGTGCCGCTTGGGGCTCTTAGATCCAGGCCGCGCACGCCACCGCATGCATAGAACGTCGCCACGCTGCAACCCGCACATCAGACACACGGGCGACACGCCCCTGGCCCCCATGTTACCTTGGAGTCCTCGAAATACAGGAGCGCGAAGTTGGCGCCGCTGCCGCCGGGGCCCGCCCAGATCACCATATTGGAGCGGTAGTCCTGCCGGGAGCCAGAAGTGGGGAGGGGGGCGAATCATTGGCCGTGTCGCCCCTCCCTCCTCCCCCTCCCCCTCCTCCTCCTCCTCCTCCTCCTCCTCCTCCTCCTCCTCCTCCTCCTCCTCCTCCTCCTCCTCACACCCTCTTCTCCTGGCGTAAACGTTTCTGGAGTGCCCACTTCGAACTACCTGTCAGGTAACTGCGCGAACACATGGGATCCACGTGAAGAACATCCCAGGGCCGCGCGCTGGACACACCTGCGAAAGTTCAGCTTACACGGCCATAACAAAAGGCCGAGCGCTAGAAAGATATCTGGCAGCTCTCGCTCAGGCCGCGTCATGGGCATCCTCCTTCCTGGTAGACTACCGACGCCCGATTAGGCACACACGCACACACAATCTGCAAACACGTCGTCGCATATCCGTCGCGCTTGCGTGGCGAAAATAAGCGAGCTGTCCAATCTTGCGGCGGGAGCTCCCAGTTGTGACTTCGTTCTGCCCTGCTGTCTTGATGGACCTTGCGGCCAGGGTGCAAGATTCGGGCAGCCGCGCGGAGCGCAGGATCGGCTGGTCAGTGCCGACGTCCTCCACGTAGTCTTGCCCAGCCCAGACGCCACTGAGTGCTCACAATGCAGATGCCGAGTAACGCCCCACGAGCTAACTCTAAGGAATGGCCCGAAAACCCGTCCCTCCCGAGACCAAAATGGTCCTTACCTCGGCGTCAAGGATTTACCGCCTCTGCTTCTCAGAGCGTGAGTGATCGGTCGGACATATGCCGATGCCACAGTCCACCCCTCTGTCCGTTGAACGACGTGCTGGACATCGTGCGGGGAGGCCCAGCCTGTCTTGGATAACCGCTGGGACCATCGTGGTGCCGATCCGCCGAAATCCGTCCGCGCGTCGGTCCGACGGTCTGCCGGTCGCTCTTAGGAGGACGGACAGGGGCAAACAGATGACGCAGCGATGCCGCGGCTGCCCTGGCGAAGGGGAACAGGGACAAGGAGGATGAGAAGGAGAAGGAGAAGGAGAAGGAGAAGGAGAAGGAGGTTGAATTTTCGCTCGATGCGCGGGCCCTGCTGGAGGGAACTCAGTGGGAGGATACTCGGTTTCTATCGTTCTAGGTTGGCCTCGCGCGCGCCCGGGCAGGGGAACAAGGTCCAGGCAGGAGAACACCGACGACGACGGCGGCGGCGACGACGAAGACGGAAGACGACGGCGCGGACGACAAACGCCGCGACGACAATCAACAAAGAAAGCTGTCGAGGGGGCAGAGAGGGCAGACGTGAAAGCATGGGTCATCTGGGCGGTTCCCGAAGCCCTGGATGCCAACATGTCGACACCTCGCCTTTCCTGTCGCTTACGCCGCCTACCGCCGCCCTGCCGCCGGCGGGCCCGCCGCCGCTGCACTTGCGCAGGCCTCCGCCGGCCCTCCGCGGGCTCCTGCCGACTGCGAGGCGCGCCGAAGAGGCGAGGTCCTGTCTGGAACGCTCCATGCGTGACAGCGAGCGGCACGGGATGCCGATACCAGGGGCCTCTCAGCAGTCCCCGGTGGAAGCGGGTAGAGGCGGCCCAGCCGGCAGGTCCAGAGCACAGCGCATCGTTGAGCGGTGCTGCGGTCTCCCATGGGCAGAGGCCCCCCACTCCAGGGCAGCAGCAAAACACGTTGGGTCTGCACCCTCGTGCCTCGCCAGGAGGATGGGGACGACGAGAAGGAGCAACATCAGGATGAAGATGGCTCAGACCCCGGCGCCGTGATCTTCGAGCAGCGCGGGCCATCCCCCGTGCCATCTCTTTCTGGGCGCCCCAGAAGCCCGGCAAGGCCCCTTCCGATGCCGCAGGCAACCGAGCTCCTCCCGTCGACGCGACTTCTTCGCGACGCGAAGGGGTCTGGGGACTCTTATCAGGGAGGAGGAGGAGGAGGAGGAGGAGGAGGAGGAGGAGGAGGAGGAGGAGGAGGAGGAGGAGGAGGAGGAGGAGAAGGAGGAGGAGAGGGGGTGGCCTCCACACGGGTCGAGCAGCCCTCGCCATGGTCTGGCCGGGGCCACGCGAGGCCTCGTAGCGGGCACCGCTGCGCGCGCCTTCACGACGAGCGAAAGCACACAACTGCTGGGCCTCAGCGTCGCAGGAAAGACACGACGAACAAAAACACAAACAAAAAAACGAAAGCACGGCATGCAGACACGTCCAGCAGTTGGGTAAGACCTGGAAGTCCCAAGTGGTCTGTGAAAGGAGTAAAAGGAGGAGGGGTTTTGGGAAGGAGTGCGGGGAGAAGCTGGGCTAGGGGCGTCACAGAGGGGGGTGGGCGTCCAAAAGAGGGGGTCGCAAATCCTGGCCCGAGGCACGTGCGCGGCCTAGGGAGGGGGGAGCCAAGGGACGCGTTGAACCATGAGGGGGCCATTAGAACTGGGAGATGTCAAGGTCCCTGTCATGTTATCCACATAATCCTACAGTGGCTGTGCTACCATGAGATACGCCGTATGAGGAACAGGGAGAAAAAATCCAGATCACAACCGGTCGGGTCAGATCCCAACCGGACGGTTCAGGTCACAGCCGTCAAGGCAACGTGGGACTGGTGAGATCAACCACTTTGGAGCCTCTGAAAGGTTCTGAGCCTCTGAAAGGTTCTGAGAGGTCCTCCGAGGTTCTGGAACCTCTGAAAGGTTCTGAGCCTCTGAAAGGTTCTGAAAGGTTCTCCTCGGTTGTGGAGCCTCAGAGAGGTCCTGAGCCTCTGAGAGGTTCTGAAAGGTCCTCCGAGTTTCTGGAATCTGACAGGTTCTGAGCCTCTGAAAGGTTCTGAGAGGTTCTCCTCGGTTCTGGAGGGCCTCTGAGAGGTTCTGAGAGGTTCTCCTCGGTTCTGGAGCCTCTGAGAGGTTCTGAGCCTTTGAGAGGTTGTGAGAGGTTCTCCGAGGTTCTGGAGCCTGTGAGAGGTTCTGAGACTTTGAGAGGTTCTGAGAGGTTCTCCTCGTATCTGGAGCCTCTGACAGGTTCTGAGCCTCTGAGAGGTTCTGAGAGGTTCTCCTCGGTTCTGAGCCTCTGAGAGGTTCTGAAAGATTCTCATGGGTTCTGGAGCCTCTGAAAAGGTTCTGAAAGGTTCTGGAGCCTCTGATAGATTCTGCGAGTTTCTGGAGCCTCTGCGAGGTTCTGGGGCCTCTGAGAGGTTCTGAAAGCATCTGAAAGCTTCTCAAAGGTTCTGAAAAGGTTCTGAAGGGTTCTGAATGGTTCTGAAAGGTTCTGAAACCTTCTGAAAGGTTCTGACAGGTTCTGACAAGTTCTGGGAGGTTCTGAGAGGGTATGAGAGGTTCTGAGAGAGGTTCTGAGAGCCTCTGAAAGATTCTGAGAGAGGTTATGAGAGCCTCTGAAAGATTCTGAGAGAGGTTCTGGCAGCCTCTGAAAGGTTCTGGCAAGAGGTTCTGAGAGCCTCTGAGAGGTTCTGCGAGAGGTTCTGAGAGCCTCTGAAAAGGTTATGTGAGAGGTTCTGAGAGCCTCTGTGAGGTTCTGAGAGAGGTTCTGAGAGCCTCTGAAAGGTTCTGGGAGAGGTTCCGAGAGCCTCTGAAAGGTTCTGAGAGAGGTTCTGAGAGCCTCTGAGAGGAGACGACGACGAGGAGGATGATGATGATGATGACGACGCCGATCACGATGAGGATGTTGATGACGACGACGGTGATGACGGTCATGACGACGGAGGAGGCGGAGGAGGAGGAGGAGGAGGAGGGGCGGGGGGAGGGGAGGACGAGGGAGGAGGGGGAAGGTGAAAGAAGGAGGGCGTCTTTCGTCGTCGTTAGTCGCCGTCGTCAGTCGTCGCCGTCGTTGTCGTCGTCGTCGTCGTCGTCGTCGTCGTCGTCGTCATTGGTTGTCGTAATCGTCGTCGCGGTCATCGTCATCGTCATCGTGGTCGTCGCGTCGTCGCCGCCGGCGCGGCGCTGGCGGGGACGCCGCCCGCTCGTCGCGGGAAGCGCCGGGGGCCACGGGGGGCTCTCGCCGCCGCCGCAGCCGCCGCCGCCGAAGCCGCCGCCGCCGTCGTCGTCGTCGCCGTCGTCGTCGTCTCTCGGGCACCGCCCCCTGGGAAGACGAGGAGGATGATGAGGAGGAGCAGGGCGAGGAGGAGGATGAGCCGAAGAAGTGCGAACATGACGATAATGCTGAAGTTGAGGAGGGTGAGGATAAGGAAGAGGAAAGAAGCCTGGAGGGCAATAAGAGGGAGGAGGAGGAGGAGAAGGAGGAGGGTTCTGTCGGACGAGGGGGCGACGATCATGAGAAAGGTGGCGATGATGATGATGAATATGATGCGGAAAATGCGGATGATGATGATGATAATGACGAATTTTATGATGATGATGCTGATTATGGTGGCGATGATGATGATGAAGGTGATGATGACGACGACGGTGACGTAGGCAAAAATAGTGACGATGATGACGATGATTGTGGCAACGAGGATGAGGATGGTGATAACGACGATTGCCGCAACGGAGGCGAACCTGATCATCATGATCATGACGTTGGTGATGCCGCTGCTGCTGCTGATGGTCATGATGACAATGACGACGCAAATGACGAGGACGAGGATTATAACGACGATTGCCACAACGGCGGCGAATTTGAGCATCATGAGTATGACGTTGACGACGCCGCTGCTGCTGATGATAATGATGGCAGTGGCGCCGCTTAGGGCTCCCTTGGGGCCGTCCTCGGCTCCTTTGGGCTCGTCCTCCTCCAGGGCGAGGAGGAGGAGGAGCGTGGGACGACTGGGATAGTAAGGAACATGAAGAGGAGCACCAGGGGGAGAGGTGGAGGCTTCATGAGGACGAGGGTGATGATGATGACGATGAGGAGGAGGAGGAGGAGGAGGAGGAGGAGGAGGAGGAAGAGGAGGACGGGGAGGAGGAGGAGGCGGAGGAGGAAGAGGAGCAGGATTGAGGCGGGATCAGGAATCCGAGGAGGAGCAGGAGGAGGAAGAGGAGGATTGACATGGCGATTCATATTTAGTGGCCTTCGGCTTATTCCGCCTCCATGCCTTGGTTGTGGGCCAGAGGCCTCTTGGATACTTGTTGGGGTCTCGTGGGAAGCCTCTGTGGATCCTCTTACCGGCACTTTCGAAGCGCGCTGGGGCTTTTTTTGGGGGGAGCTTCCTAGGGGCCGTCTTGGCGCCTCTGGGTGCTCTCAGCGGGGCCCGCTGGCGATCTCGGGGGTCCCCTTGGGCACCAGTGGGCGCATGCTCGGCCGTCTTGGGGCCCACTGGGGTCATCTTACGGGCAGTTTGGGGGCCTGTGTCGGCCATCTTGGACGCTCTTCGGATCGATACGGCGAGCATGCTAAACACGTGCGCTTATCCACGGAATTGGGGCGATGTTTGCCCCGCGGGGCCCTCTTGGAGCTCTTTTGGTTGCGCTCGTGAAATCGGCACGGCATACCCGCATGCGGGGCTGCCCATGTTCGGCCAACGGGACATAGAATAGCAGAACGCATGTACCCCTACACTTGCCACCTGAAGCAATACTACACTCAGTACTGGCATCTCGCACTACTAGTGCTAGTAGTACTTCGGCTACGTGTGTGTCTGCTGCTGCGACTAATTCTGTCGTTTTTGACCGTCTCATGTCAGTAGTGGTTTTACTGTCGTTGGCGCTGTGCGTTGGTACGTTTACTACTACTGCTGCTAATACGACCTGTTGTCTTGACTACTACGACTACTGGTACGAATAGTAATACTACAAATACGACTGGTACTACCACTACTACTACTACTACTACTACTACTACCACTACTACTAATACTACTACTACTACTACTACTACTACTACTACTACTGCTACTGCTACCACTACCACCACCACTACTACTACTACCACTTCTACTACTACTACTACTACTACTACTACTACTTACTACTACTACTAACTACTACTACTACTACTACTACTACTACTACTACTACCACTACTACTACTACTACTACTACTACTACTACTACTACTACTAGTAGTACAACAAAAACGACTACTACTACTACGGCTACGGCTACTACTACTACTACTACTACTACTACTACTACTACGACTACGACGACTACGACTACGACTACTACTACTACTACTACTACTACTACTACTACTACTACTACTTGTGCTACTACCACTACTAGTACGACTACGACTACGACTACTACTGCGACGACTACTACTACTAACGTTTTTACTACTATTCGTAATCCTACTCCGACTACTCCTATGATCCCTCTTATCATTACTACTAATATTACAACAACTACTACTTGTATTACTATACCCACCACAAGTACTACTATTACTACGACTTGTACTACTACTACTACTACTACTACTACTACGACTACTACTACTACTACTACTACTACTACTACCATTACTAATACTATCACACCCTCCGCAAGTACTGCTACTATTACTACTACTACTACTACTACTAGTACTACTAGTACTACTACTACTACTACTACTACTACTACGACTACTACTACTACTACTACTACTACTACAAAGACTACTACTACAAAGACTACTGCTACTAGTATTACTACCACTACTACTACTACTACTACAACTACTACTACTACTACTACTACTACTATTACTACTACAACTACTACTACTCCTACTACTCCTACTACCATTACTAATACTAATACTGCTACGACTACTACGACTACTACGACTGCGACTACGACTACGAAGACTACTACTACGACCAGTACTACTACTACCACGATTTCTACTACTACTACTACTACTACTACTACTACTATTACTACTACTACTATTACTACTACGATCCAGTAAACAAGACGCGCGAGAGCCCAACCGCAATAGCTCACGCGTGAATCTGCTCCTGTAAGGTGTCCATTGCAATTTCAGAGTGCCATGAACAAATATGATAACAATTCAAACTGTTTTTTATTGGATTCCTCTTCGGTTGTGATCTGACCGTGCCTGGTGCTCTGGACGGTTGTGATCTGAACCGTCCGGTTGTGATCTCATGCGACCAGTTGTGATCTGAACCCATCGCGAGGAACAGGGGGGCCTTCCTGGCCACGGCAAGCCTCGGCTACGGATAGACGTCCCCGCCCCAGATCTTGGGAACGGCCCGAAATCTCGAGCTTCTTCTGTACCCAAAGGGGTCTTCTGTTCAGAGCCTTTACAAACAAAACTGGAAGGATGCACGATGAGGATGCAGGGGCTTTGGAGGGCCGTGTCGGCACTTTTCGAGCGGGGCGTGGCCAGCGAAAGTGGTCAAGGATGGGCCGAGGGAGGGATGTAAAGGTAACCTTCGAAAATCGCGCACCTTTGCAGTCGGACCCAAAACGAACAACATCCTTCAAGAACATGGGGACTCTCCACCAGCCAACACACATAGGACATCTAAGGGCACCTCCGCAGGATGCACAAGAACACCCAACAAGCACGAAGAACATTAGGGCACCCTCCTCGAACCGACGACTACGATTTTATACCTCGGTCCACCTGTGCGATCAATGGCGTCTCTACTGTAATCTCCACTGCCTCCCTGGACGCCCCCGGCCTCAGGATTGGACGCCCGAAATGGGTACGGAAAAACTGGGCACAATGCCCAACACCAGCTGTTGTCTCGAGCCAACCGCGGCCGCTGTTGGGCAAGCGACCTTCTGTCTCGAATGTACACAGGCGGCGGCGGCGGCGCTGACAGCGAGTCCTGTTCAAAACGAACAAGAACTGCTGTTGGGCATCGCACCCATTCCTTCCGTACCCATTTCGTCCGTGCCGATCAGGAAGCCACGGCCGCAGAGAAGACGCAGGCTCCCACCAGGCCCCCGGGGGGGGGGGGCGCGCGCCTGCCTCCACGCCCTCGGCCACGCCGCCGCCGGAGGGGCACGGCGGCGGCGCCGACGCCCGCCGCGGGGCGGGCTCGGGGCGAGGCAGGAGACAGGGAGCGGGCGGACGCTGGCTGCCTGCCAGGACCACCCCAACCCAGCCCGAGGTCCCAACTGTTGGCTTCCTTTCGGGGGCTCGGGGCCCCACCCGCGTCTCGATGTTCCCGGGTACCCCCCCCCCACTGGGAGTGGAGGGCAACTTGGGGCCTTCGGGTTGGACTGGGGTGGCCTGGTGTGTAGCGAGGCGCTGGCCGGGGGGGGTGCGCGCCCCAGGGGGAGGGGGAGTGGGGACGCCTTGGGACAAGAAGAGGCGCCGTGAAATCTGGGGAGATATCATGATGGCCCCCGCCATGATATCCACCTCCGACGGGCCCCTGCGTCGACCGCGCCCACAAGGCAGGTAAGAGGTAGGAGGAGAAGGAGGAGGAGGAGGAGAAGGAGGAGGAGGGGGAGGGGCAGGAGAAGGAGGAAGGGCGGAGGAGGAGGAGGAGGAGGAGGAGGAGGAGGAGGAGGAGGAAATAGTCGTCACCCCCCGCTTGGCCGCCCCCGACGGGGGGGCGCGGGGTCCTCCACGCGCATCGTGCCCGGGACGGGCGGCCGCACCGCCTCGCCCCTCGCCTTCGCCAGCGTGCGGCCTGGCGCCCCCGCCGCGCCCCTTGGGGTCTCCTCGTCCTCATCCGCGTCGTCGTCGTCGTCGTCGTCGTCCTCGCCCTCGTCGTCGTCGTTGTCGTCGTCGTCGTTATCGTCGTCGTTGTCGTCGTCGTCCTCGCCGTCATCTTCGGCGTCGTCGTCGGCGTCGTCGTCGTCGTCGGCGTCGTCATCTTCGGCGTCGGCGTCGTCGTCGTCGTCGCGAATCGAGACTGCTGGGCGTGTTCAGCCTTTCCCGCCGTGCCGCGGGGCGGGCGCCGCTGCAACGCTGTCCGTCCGCAAGCTCGTCGCTGTCGTGCTACACGTTCTCGTCGCCGTCGTCGTCGCCGTGGATCCAGACTCCCAGGCATCCTCCGATATGAATTGTTCACCCTGAGGCCCCAGAGATCCCGACCCCCTCCCGCTGGGGTCGCTCTTCGCCCGTGATCCATGTTTGATGACCCCCGGGCAAGAAAATGACCGAGACCTACAAGCCGAAATCGAAAAAACGGCGGGGTTGAACAAATCAGATCCTCAGAGGTCTGGGCCGTTGGGCGTTCTCAACCGGTCCTGGGCCTCCAAAGGTCTCCAGCTGCCGTGGCACAGCTGGTGCCAGGTGCAACCTCTGCTGCGGCCGCTACTGCTGCGGCGTCTGCTGCAACCGCTGGCACGGGGGCTTCAACCGCGACAACTCGTCTAAAAGGGAGACAGGAGGAATCAAAAGGAATAAGGAGCAGTAGAATGCGAAGGAACAGCAGCAGCAGCAGAACAAAGATGACCAAGAAGAAAAGATGAGTTCGCTGGCCCAACGGGCCAGAGGCGTGCTAAGATCTCCCGTAACAAATTTAGAATAATTCTACTTCGCGCGCGCGCGGGGCGGCCCCTGGGAATCCCTGGTCGAAAAATACGTGGACGGACACCCGGCTGACTCTGGGTCAGAGATGGCAGAACTCCCGGGCGCGGTTCTGGCGGCTCCCGGATCGCTCCAGGAGCGCCCCAAAGAGGTTCCACTGGGATCCGAGTCGCGCGCAGATCGCTCCCAGATGTCTAAGATGGCCTCAAGAGGGCCCCGCAGGCCTCCACAATATCCAAGACGCCTCCAAAACGCCTCCGAAGAGAGCCCCAAGAGGCAAAAATCGTTCCATTCCCTATCACACGTATTTTTTTTGGAGGGAGAATATGGGAGCGGACACAATGACTCCACCCGAAGACGCGCGAGAACTCCGTGCACTGAGCGACGGAGAAATTAAGTCGCACCGAAGTTGGGAGCACTCAGTGGCAATCTAAGCGGTCGCAGCCCAGACTGGGCAGGACGACCAATGAACTGGCACCAAGAATCTGGGGAAGAAGGAGGAGAAGGAAGGGAGGCGGCGGGGAGAGAAGGGGGCGGGACCTGCCTGAAAGACGCCCAGAGTAGAACTCGATGCAGCGCTGCAGCCACGAAGCATGCGAGTCAAAAGGTCGCAGGGCGCACCGGCGACACCACGCGAGCAGACCTGCAATAGGCAAGCCCGTGAAAAGAACCGTGGCCTGAGGGAGACAGTGGGCGGACCGTGCGCCAGCAGGGGGCGAAGATGGAGGGGAGGGAGGAGGGAAACACAAAACCCCAAGATGGGGTTCAAACTAAAGCGCACCACGAAGCCCCGTGAACTACCACGCGAACCTACACGCCCTCGAAAACCGAGCGGCCAACCGGCAACACGATTAGGTGAATTGACACAAAGAAGGGGAGAGGGACGACGACAACGACGGGAGGCGGAGCGAGAGCAGGGCTGACCAGGCCCGCAACAAAACACAACGACCTAAAGAAGGGGAGAAATAACGAAGACATCAAATTCGAGGCGAATCCCCAGACAGGAGCCACGCACACACTGCCGACCAATAACACTTGAGAAACGAAAGTGTAGACGCCCAAGCCCACCCGGCGGCAATCGCCGTCAGCACTCCCGGGCTGCGCCCGAGGTGGGCTCAAGGGCATTCGCCACTTGAGTGGAGCGAGGGGGAGCCGGAAGAGGAGGCGGAAAGCGAAAGCAGGCCTGCCCCAGCAGGGTGAGCCAGCGTTCCGCCTCAGGGAGGAGGGCGCGGGAGGAAGAGAAGGGGGGGGACTTCGCAGTGCGCGAAGCTGTGGCCCGTCGACGCGCGACTACAAGCTAACATTCTGCTGGTGGTGCCGGCCGATTCGCCGCCGCACGGCTGAGGGGCAGAGGGCCGCCCGTGACAATTATTGCCCGGGGGCCCTGCGCAAGCTATATTGACGGACAATGGTGTCGCCCCATGGTGCCATCAAGCCAGCAGGAAAATAACCACACTTTGTTGCGAGCACGTTCTCCTAAGCACTGGCGGAAAAAGCCAGGAAGCCGGCCATTACGAAAGCCTTGACCCGCGCCCTCGGCGCAGAGTCCGAGCCGAGGGAGAGCTACCTGTGACACTTTTTGCTCGGCAGCGGGGGGGGAAATCGTTACGTTCCCCCCCTCCTCCGCACGGAGCAAATAAATCGCACCCGCATGCCATGCGCATCGATGGAATGATGGTGGCGGCTCCGCGCGGAGCAAATAAATCGCACCCACAAACCATGCGCAACGTGGTGTGTTGGAGACGGCGCGCTCGAAAAGCTACAGGGCGGAGGAGGAGGAGGGGGAGTAGAGGAAGGAGGAGAGGAAAGGGAGAGAGAAACCGCCCGCGGGCCCAGGCTCAGTCGGGGCGCGGCCGCTTGAAGGCGGAGGCGACCAACTCCATGGCCTTGCCGCGTCCCCGGGTGGCCTCCCGCAGAAAGCCCACGAACAGCTCCGCGCCCGCCGCAGCCGGAGAGCCGTGCCTGATGGCGTTGTGCGTTCGGAAGAGAGCATCGACTGCGATGGCTCTGGCCGCCGCCGCAGTTGCAGCCTCTCGGTGCGGTTCCGCGGTGTGCGGGGCAATGCCCAAGAAATCCTCGAGGCATTTGTCTGGAGGGGGCTTTCGCAGATTCAGTCTCCTACCGCAGGCACGGTGGAACTCCGCGCAAAAGGCGTAGTGTTCGATGCTGTCTTCGGCCCTGCAGCCGAAGATGCGCCTGCCGTTGCCCTGCATGCGCCGGCGCGTCGGCCAGCCGTTGAAAGCGGTGCGGATCTGGCAGGCTTGAACGCGCGGAGGAAGCCACGCCGACGTAGCCTCCAAGGTTACCGACCACCTGCCGACCCTGCGGCCGGGCGGAGTCGGCAAGCGCCAACGGTCGAGGCGGGCCCGGGCGTGCGCTCTAGCCGGGCCTTCGCAGCGAGGGTTCAGGAGCGCTCTCACCCGGGCCTGCCAGCCCACCCGCTCCTGGACGGCGTGGCCGTCGCAGCCGAACACGGACACCTCTATTTGTAGATGGCGCTGCCGGGCGTCGACTTGGCCCACGGCCCTTTCCAAAGAGAAGAAGAAGTTTTGGGGCAACCACGGCAAGGTGCTAGCACTGAGGGCGTCGTTTTGTGGCCGGTTCATAGCCTGCCGGAGCCGCTCAGCACGCTGTTGGATGCGGAACCCCCCGTTGACCGAGTCTTCGAACTGCGCCACGCGAGCTCGGGCAGCGACAGAAGCCCATTTTGACGTCCAGAAGCTCCTTCGGAAAATGGAAGATTTTCAGGGACTTCAGGAAGCTAGGCGAAATCCACGCCTTGGGCCCTGGGAGCAGGGCCTCGCACACCTGTGCCTCCATGTCCGCGAAAGAGGAGGGGGGCGGGTCGAGCTGGGAGATGAACGACAAAACTGGGGCGATGAAGATCGAATGAGCATCCAGCGTGCTCATCATGCCCAGGCCCGCCTGGCCCCAGAGCTTCGCCCGAGCCAAAAACTTGTCGAACGGGGCGCGCCAAGAAAGCTCTCCACGGCCCGGGCCAACCACAAAGCCAATGTACTTCGCTTTGGAACTGATGTCCAAACACTCCCACGCGGGAACTATGCGATGCAATCGTTCCCGGGCAACGTTGATGTCGAACGGGGCCAGCGGCGCAAGGACCGTCTTGCTAACATTCAAAAGAAAACCCGAGATCCGCCCATTCTCGCTGAAAGTAGCCTCCAAAACAGATGAATGTTTCCAAATGTCCGTGTGTACGAGCGCCGTGTCGTCCGAATATGCTCTGAGCGCGCACCCCGGGATCCTTCGCAATAAAGTGCAGGGTAATAAGTTAGAAGCCACTGCAAAGAGAAGCGGAGACAGCGGGCAGCCCTGCTGGATGCCCCTGGTGATGTCGAAGCCCTGGTGCCGAACGCCTCCCAAAACAATGGCGCAACGGTTCTGCGTGCACAAGACCGCGATGAAGTTGAGCAGCCAAGGCGGCCAACCAAGCTTCTTGAAGACCCTATCCATGAACGCGTGCTCGATGGAGGGGAATGCCACCGCGAAATCGAAAAACATGGCCGCGGCGTCCTCGGAAACACAAGCGCTCAATGCCATAGCTTCGTCTACGTCGATCAGATTGGCGAGGAGGGAGCGGCCGCAGATGAACCCCCGCTGGAACTTGGACACCCTTGAACTGATGTGCATCTCGATTGCCATGCGGACGGCGTTCGCGAGCAGGCGGTTGTCCGTGTTCGTGACGTTCAGCGGGCGGACCTCGCCGGTGGGGCAGGTGCCCGACGCCTTCTTTGGGAGGAACTAAAGAAGGCTGAAATTGAAATCCTGGTAGTCCGACGCCATGAGTTCGGCGCCCTGGTCGCTGCGGGAAACTTTCGCAGCATCGTGGAGGATCTCCGCGGAGAGGCCCAGCGTGCGCGACCAGGCACGAAAAGGAATCCCGTCGGGGCCCAGGGCGGTGTTCTTGGCGTTCATAATGGCGTAACGTACGTGCTTCTTCCTTAGCTTGAAGGCCTCGCGGGGGAAAGGCTGCGACTCGCCGGCCGGTCTGTTGTCCTGGTCGTCCTCCAACCATTTATCCAGGGGCGTTTCGTCGATGCCCTTGGCCTTGAAGATATTGGACCAATGCGAGCGGAGGGTGGCGGCCATCCTGTCTGGGGTAACCTGTATATCCCCGCTCGCGTCCTGAATGGCGCCGATACTACAAGAACGACCTGGGGTAATCCTGTAAGGAGCCTCGTATTCCTCTGTCTGGCTTGCATGGCACGCTGGGTGTTCCTGGAGAGCAAGTCTTTGTGGGACTTCCCCAGCTCATCGAAGGCATGTTCACGAACCAATTGAACCACATGGTCCCTGGCGGGACGGAGGTGGCAAGAGTTGTTCCGGTCGAGGGCGTAGGGGTTGCTAACGATGTCCTTTTGGAGCGGGTACCGCAACAAGCAAACCGAGATGGTGTTCACGAAACCGTTTTCCACCGCACGAAGAAACTTAATCGTGACGCCGATCCTATCCTCGAAGCTGGACGCGGGCTCCGGTGTCTGAAACTCCTTATCGATATTGGCCGAGACGGTTTTCATGCAGTGTTTGTAGTGCTGCAGCTTGCTGAGGGCGTTGGGGTTGGAGAGGTGCTTGACCGACTCGCGGTATTCCAGCGCGTATCCCTATCACACCTATTTTTGGCCGATTCGCGTCCTCAGCCTTCGCAAAATGCAAGACGGCCCCAAAGGGCCCCCAAGAGCACCCAAAGACCGCCGAAGAGGCCCCCAAGAAGGCTCCAAGACAGCCCCGGGGAGCCTCAAGACGGCTCCAGGACCGCCCAAAGACTGGCCAAGACGGCCTCCAGACTGTGCCAAGATGGACCCACAGGAGGAACCAGAACGAACATTTCGAACCTTCGGGCCCCAGACGCCCCGAGGAAGCTCCCCGAAGCTTCCCAGAGGCCCCAAAAGGCTCCAAGAGACGCCTTCCGAAGAGAGCCCCAAGAGCACAATCGTCCAAGACTGGCCAAAACGGCCTCAGGACTGCTCCGCGAGGGGCCCAAAGGATGTACCAGAACGGACATTCCGAACCTTCGGCCCTCAGACGCCCCGAGGAAGCTCCCGGAAGCTTCCAAGATGCCTCAATAGGCTCCAAGTGACGCCTCCGAACAGAGCCCCACAAGGCACAAATCACAAACTTCTGATGCAAAACGTATGCTTTTCCCCAATCCGCCTCCTCAGTCTTCCAACGTCCACAGCGGCCGCAGAGGCTCCCAAGGTCGCCCAAAGACCGCCGAAGAGGCCCCCAAGAAGGCTCCAAGAGAGCCTCAAAGAGCCTCGAGACGGTTCAAGGAGCCCCCAGACTGGCCAAGACGGCCTCCAGACTGCTCCAAGAGGGGCCCACAGGAGGAACGAGAACAGACATTTCGAGCCTTCGGCCCCCAGACTTCCCGAGGAAGCTCCCAGAAGCTTCCAAGAGGCCCCAAGAGGCTCCAAGAGAGCCCACAAGAGCCTCACAACGCTCTCACAAACCCCCTAGGGGGACCCCTAGAAACTGAAAAACTCATTCCAAAACGTCTTCGAGAAGCCCCACTCGAAACTCTATCAACCATCCGAATGGCATCAGGCACATCATTCAGGCACGATGGTTGGTTGGATAGGCCCACGGCCACTCGTAGGTGCCACGCCCCACGGCCTCACGCCAAACGCTCCAAATTTCCCGACGCCTCTTCTTCCGTCTTCTCCTCCTCCTCCTGCTCCTCCTCCTCCTCCTCTTCCTACTCCTGCTCCTCCTGCTCCTCCTGCTCCTCCTCCTCCTCCTCCTCCTCTTCTTCTTCTTCTTCCTCCTCCTCCTCCTCCTCCGCCTCCTCCGCCTCCTCCTCCTCCTCCTCCTCCTCCTGCTCCTCCTCCTCCTCCTCCTCCTCCTCCTCCTCCTCCTCCTCCTCCTCCTCCTCTCTTAGTGGCCTCAGACACACAGCACAGGCACGGTGGTGGGATGGGCCGAACGCCACTAGTAGGCGTCAGCTCCTGCGGCCCAACGGACCAGAGGCGTGCTAAGATCGCTGGCAACTGGAAAACTATATTTCTAGTTCGCGCGCGCAGGGCGGCCCCTGGAGGTCCGCGGCCGACAAATGCCACGAGCAGGTTCCGGGCAGGTCCCCAGCAAGTTCCAATCAGAGATGGTTCTGCTCCTGGGCGCCGCCTTCAGGGCCTCCCAAGAGCCCCAAGAGCGGTCCTGAGGCCCCCAAGAGGCCCTCAAGGGCACGAGAACATTACCAGGCAGCCACAGTGATGCGAAATGGGTCGGCGGAGTGAGTGAAGCGATGAACAAATAGTGGTAAGGGGAGGAGAGGAGTAGGCGGAAGAGGTGTTGGGTGTTGGGTCTGCTCCAGCTGTATCGCGGCCCCTGGCACGCTGGGGCGCGTGTGGAGTGCTCCTGAATTGCAAGACGCCCCTGTGTCGCCACACACACACCAACCCGAAGGAGCGCGCTGGGAAACCTCCGAGAGGCACCAGGGAGGCCCCGAAGAGGCCCCATCAGGCTTGTAAGAGTCTCTCCGAGGAGGTTCGTGGAAGGACACGTGTCACTTCAAAACGACGCTGACTAGCGCACGTTTGTTTAATCGTATCTGCCCGCCTGTGGTCCGACACATTACCGACAAAAGCGCCTCCCGCACACGGTCCCCGAAACAACCCCGAAGCAATCGCAAAACTGCCGCGACCGCTGAAAAATCGATGCAAAGAGTCCCCCACACTCGGCCGAACCGGCCCCAATACCCCACACAACGGCCCCAATCTGCTACTACATCCTCTTTTCAGTCCTGGGGATCGCGGCAAAGCCTCTGTCCCCAAAGCAGCTCAGGAGCGGAATGGAGGACTGCTGAGGCACCGTAGAACAAGTGCAAAAACATGCTAGAACCCCTGTCGGGCTCATAGTGTAATCATCTAGGAGATGCTTCGATGCTGCGCTGGCATGATGGCGGCATTCGCTGCAAGCAGCCGCGTTACTTCCAATGCTTCGGCTACTGGCTCTACTGCTGCTGCCACTGCCGCTGCGACTGTTGGTTTGGTCGTGGCGACTGCAACTGCAATTGCGTCAATAATCATGACCACAAATGATGCTGATAGTGCTGTGTGTATGGGTGCCTGTTCTGGTGATGGCACTGGCAGCGTTGTCCCTGTTATGTACGACCACATCAAAACCCCATTCCTGCGCGTGCGCACCAGTACGACCCCAACTGGGAGGGTCCGCTCTACGATATGGAAGTAAGCGTTGACGTGCTTCATTCCATCATGGTTTCGTAGCACGCAATGCAGAGGCCACGCGCAAGAGACGTCGCGTTCGCGTCAGCATTCCGCAAACTTGTCGAGAATACTTCGGCCCCGCTGCGCGCAAACACACTCGGCCACCAAACACGGTTTTCAAACCTCGGCCAGCCAGAGGGATTGGCCGTGGCGAACCGTTAGCAGAGACCCCCCGTACGTCCACCCGTTTGGCTTTCTGGCCGCAGCTCGGATCCCAGGCGGTCGTTTGGGACAATTCATGGAACCTCCACACATCAATCGGTTCTGGAGTCCTGGCCCCGGTCAACGCTGACCCCCGTCACGTGAGCTCAAAGTCGTCCTTCTTGTTAGGTCTCCTCCAGCGCAATTGCCTGAGTACTCGCTCGCTTCGCCAGTGTCGGCCCGAATGCCCCAGAGGCGTTGCACAGGAATCCCTCCACGAATGAACAGGGTCAAGAGGAGGAGGAGGAAGGAGGAGGAGGAGGAGGAGGAAGAGGAGAAAGCGGAGGGTGAGTTCTTTTCCTCTGTCCACGTTGTCTTCTGTTGTCCAACTGCGCCCACCTGGCTACAATTTGTGGACAACAACTCCTCAGTCGGTACCTGATTATTCTGCCGCCTTTCCATCATCCAGACGCTACGATCCCAATAGATCTAAGCATGCCGAACGTAAAACAGGAAACTGATGCGGAGGACCTGGAGAGTGTGCAGGCTGCTCTGGCAAGTGAAAACGACAAGCACGTGTTGTGCTTCTGCCTCTGGCCCTCTCCCTCTCCCATTTTTTGACGTCAGGCAATTTTGGATCGCCTGGGATCGTAACGTCAAGATAGCAAACAAAACGAAGGCCATGGTGCGATTGAGCCGGCTTGGGCACAGTGGCCACACATTAAATGGCGAGCAGGTGCGGTAACCAGATGGGGCAATAAGACGTGGTAGAAAAAACGTGGAGCCCGACTGGGCGCAGAGTAAACGTGCAAATAACCAGAAAGGAGGAAGGGGAACACAACCATACTCATGATACGCCCCCCCCCCCGACTCGTCGTCTTCCTCCTTCTGCTGCTCTTCCCCCCTCCAGCCCTGGATGCAGCGCACGGTGTCGCCGCCTTCCTCCTGCAGCGTGTGGACGCCTCCGCCACGCTCTTGCGCCAGGGGGGGAGGGAGGAGGAGGGGGGGAAGGAGGAGCGGGAGGAGGGGAGGCAGGAAGGAGGAGGAGAGAAAGGAGGAGGAGGAAGAGGAGGAGGAGGAGGAGGAGGAGGAGGAGAAGAAGAAGGAGGAGGAGGAGGAGGAGGAGGAGGAGGAGGAGTGGGGAGGAGGAGAGGTAGAATGAGAGGGAGGGAGGAAGGGAGGGAGGGAGAAAGGGAGGAGGATGAGGAGGGAGGGTGGGAAGAGAGGGGAGGGAGGGAAGGACGGATGGAGGGAAGAATGAGGAGATGGAGAGAGAGGGGGTTCAGGAGGAGAGAGGGTGGGGAGGAGGGGGGGGAAGCGAGGGAGGGAAGAGGGAGGAGGAGGAGAGGGAGGAAAAGCAGCAGAAGGAGGAGCTTGTGGGTCCATGACGTACCGGCCATCATGGAACATCCCTCGTTGAATCGACGGGCCCCTGGGGCTCTCAAGTCTTGGCTTTTGCACCAAACCCAAAGGGTCATGAGGCTACCTGAGTCCAGGCGCACCACATTCATCAGTACATGTTTGGGGCCAGAGCTCTTGAGCCTACTACCCATCTTGCTGTGCATTAGATTGCTATGCAGACCACTGTGGTTGCAAAGCGAAAGGGAAGCAAGTGCGTTCTTATGGGACCTCATCGGGGCCTTCCCGGGGGTTGGGCCTGATGGGCTTTGGCGCACGGCAAGCGCCACGATCTACCCTTTTGTGTTGTGCCAGTTTCTGGCCGTCTGTGTGCTACAAGAGGCCTACGAGGAATTCCCTCAGCTTTGTCGCAATCCCACCTCTGGCTCCATCCCACCTCCCGCTGCCGATAGGCCACCAACTTCCTGGACCCATGACGATCGAGCGGTAAGGGCAATGGTGGACCTTGACAGCTGCGGTAATAAATGGGATGTGCCGATGAGACTGCGACAATTTGCGGCACCATTGGGCCCTTACTTGGTGGGCTATGGGATGTATGCTACACAGCCCGTCGACCCATACGGATCCCAATATGTGATATGCCGTGTGCGGCCTGCCCTTCATTTCTCTCTCCTCATCTGGTGTTTCTTTCTTCTTTTTGGAATGCAGGTCTGACGGCGGTATGGCCATTGCAATGCTTTAAACGTGTGTAGGGTCTTGCAGAGAAGGGGTACCGAGCCGAAGTGTTCCGCCAAGCGCCCAATCCTCTTGGCAGAAGTTGCGAAGTACGCAGAAGATCCTTCAAGGATCCTGCAATCGCCTCAGGCAAGAACATATTTGCTGCACGGGGGGACTGTCTCGTCTTATCCCATCCCCATGTTCATTTCCGCTCCTGACTGACATTCTGAACCCACTTTAAGCGACAATACCCAAGTGATGGCCAACCCTGCACTATTGGGCCCACGCCTTTGCGCGCTGGCATCTCGTTCATGTCCTCTTTCGGGCCTGCTGCTGCTTTTGCCTAGTTCTTCACCCAATGGCCCTCTTGCCATGTTCTCTCCACATTGGCTTCGACTTTGGCTTCACCTGTCCGCTATTCGACGGAAGCGAATCGAGGAGGAGGGGGAGGAAGGAGGGGGAGGGAGGGAGTGGGGGAGGGGGTACGGACAAGCTAGGTGCGCTCGCGTCATATCTGACGTCCTACCCCTCCCTCCCATCCCTTACCATGGCGCTGATTTTCTCTATCCGCGGACGCGTGTCGTAGCGGACTTGTGGCTCCGCGCGCGCGTGCGTAGTGGGTGGTGGTGGTGCGCGTGCGTGCGTGCGTGCGTGCGTGCGTGTGTGGTTGTGGTGGTGGTGGTGGTGGTGGTGGTGGTGGTGGTGGTGGTGGTGGTTGAAGTGGTGGTGGTGCTGGTGGTGGTGGTGGTGGTGGTGGTGGTGGTGGTGGTGGTGCGGCGCGGTGGTGGCGGGCGGATGGGCGCGCGAGAAAGAGGCCCGCGCTGGGGCGAGAACGCCATCCTGAACGACGGACGCGAAACACCGATCCGAAAATGAGGCCCACGCTGCAGCGGGAGCACGATTCGGAACGATTCGGGAGCAGAGATGAGGCCGGCGCCTCAGCGAGAGCAGCATTTTGAACAAAACACAAGCGAAAACCCGTTTCCCGGGAATCCTGTGTGTAAAGAAACAATACGCGGGGGGGTGTCGGATATCTTCGGGACGCCATCAAGGGAAGTGGGAGAGTATTTTCATATTGTGTAATTGTGGAGGGGAGGGGGGGGCAGGCGGGTGGCCCCTTGGGGGTACGAAGAGGACGAGCATTAGCAGGATCACGGCGAGCACGACGAGGGGGAGGACCAGGTATTGTATCGAGGGGAGAGAGGGAATGGGGAGAGGGGTGGGGAAGATTGCTGCGCTCGCGCCATATCTAATATGAGACCCCCTCCCTCACCGGGGGGGTGAGTCCCCTCTATTCGCAGAAGCGAAAATCGAAGAAGATGTAATTCCTTAACGGGCAACTCTGTACAAACAACTTTGTTCAAGACGGCCCCGGAGACCTAAAGATGGAAGGGGCGTGAATTAGGCGGCGGGAGCTGGGAGGAGCATGAGGAGGAGGGAAGAGAGGCGGTGACGGACGGGGCAGGAGGTCGAACTGAGGACGGCGACGAGGAAGGCAAGGAAGCACAAGCAGAAGGAAGCGGCAAAGGATACGGAATAGGAGAAGCGTTGGACGACTGGGGCGGGGAATGAACGCAGGAGGAGGGGAAGGAGAATCATTGGATGCTCCATCTCTGTTGCCGCAGTCAAGGCATCGTGAAAAATGAGGTCTCCAACCATAAACGGCTAGTGCTGAGCACACACACACACTGACACACACACGCTCACACTCACACACACACACACACACGCACGCACGCACGCACGCATGCAATACGCACACGCACACCCACGCACACACACACACACACACGCACACGCACACGCACACGCTCACGAACATGCACACGCACACGCACACGCACACGCGCACACACGCACACACACACGCACACACACGCTCACGCACACGCACACGCTCACACACACGTCCATGCACACGCACACACGCTCACGCACACGCACACGCTCACACTGCGCACACACGCACACGCACACGCACAGGACGACACCACAGCACAGACACAGGCACACACACACACGCACACACACGCACGCACGCACACACACACACACACGCACACACGCACACACGCACACACGCACACACGCACACACACCCACACACACACACGCACACGCGCACGCACACGCGCGCGCACACGCACACGCACACGCACACGCACACGCTCACGCACACACACACACGCACACGCTCACGCACACGCTCGCGCACACGCGCACGCGCACGCGCACGCGAACACGCACACGCACACCCACGCACCCACGCACGCACGCACGCACGCACGTTCGCACGCACACGAACACGCATACGCGCACACGCACACGACACACACACACACACGCACGCACACACGCACACACGCTCACACGCACACACGCACACACGCACACACGCACACACGCACACACGCACACACGCACACACGCACACACGCACACACGCACACACGCACACACGCACACACGCACACACGCACACACGCACACACGCACACACGCACACACGCACACACCGTACACACACACCTAATACCCCCAACACACACACACACACACGCACACACGCACACACGCACACACGCTCACACGCACACACACACACACACACACACACGCACACACGCAAACACGCATACACACACACACGCACACACGCACACACGCACACACGCACACACGCACACACGCACACGCACACGCACACGCTCACGCACACGAACACGCATACGCACACACACGCACCACACACAAACATACTACAGTCCATGACGAATGCCATGTTGATAAGAGGGGTCGGCATCTGGAAATGGAATCCTCAGATCCCCCCAAGCCTGTCTCTCCTGGAGAAGCCACCCAAAGAAACCGTATCAGACCCCCTCTACCCCCCCCCACCACCACTCGCCAGATGCTCTGCACAAACGCTCCCCTGGAGACCTCCGATGAAGCAAACTAACGGGAAAAAAGCGCCCTCCTCTTCCTCCTCCTCCGCTTCGCCTCACCCCCACTCCACGCCTTGCTCCACAACGTTGTTATTATTATTCTTCTTCTCCTCCTCCTCCTCTTCCTCCTCCTGCTCCTCCTGCTCCTTCTCGTCTCCTCCTCGTCCTGTTCCTCGTCATCCTCCTCTTCCTCTTCCAAGGCTCCCTCCTCCTCGTCCTCCCCCACCCCTCCTTGCTCCAAGACGTATTCGCGCTTTCCCAATGGCCACGGGTACTTGACGCGCCAGTGCAGCACCCTTTCTCGCCTGGCCGGTTTCGGGCATCCCCTCCCGCGCTCGTGCCCACCCACCCATCTCTCTCTCTTTTTTTTTTTCTCTCTCTCTCTCTCTCTCTCTCTCTCTCTCTCTTTCTCACACGTGTATGGATACATGTATAGAGAGAAAGAAGAAAGGGTCCGCCGATCCAGCGTGTGAATTCGAAACAACTGCAGCCTGAACTTCAAATCTGCTGGCGGGGGAGCCGGGGTGGCTCTGCAAGGGAAAAAAGAGGGAGGGGGGTCTTCTGTTTCCGAAGCCGCTCCCGCGCCGCAGGAGGAAGGGTGCGGGGGCGGTTTGGCCGAAACATGTGGGAAAGGGGGGGGCGGCGGCACCGCCGCCAAGGCCGCCAAGACGGCACAAGAGAGCCCCCACGCGCCCAAGACGGCCCCAAGACGGACCGAGAGGTCCTAAGAGCGTTCCAAGAGGATTCCCAAGAGGGCCCCAAGAGGTACAAATCTTTGATTTCCATACTTCCCCACATCCAAAGTGGGGTTTTGTTTTCTCTGGAATCTCCGCGCACGAACACGCAGGAACACACTACATCATCACCCACTCACTCACTCACCCACTCACTTACTCACTCACTCACGCACTCATAACCGTCATCATCAGTCATTCACTCAATCACCACGTCGCCATCACTCACACGCACACTTATCAGCATCAACATCCGTAGCATCATCACCACATCATCATCAACACCAGTACCATCACCACCACCATTTGCTCACCCACTCACTCACTCAGTCGCTCCCGCTCATACTTTCACTCATCATCATCACAATCCCCATCGTCATCAATCACATACTCCCTCACACTCATACCCAATCACACACATTTTCATCATCATCACCATCATCATCATCACCATCATCATCATCATCCCTCATTCAGTCATTCACTCACTCACTCACCCACTCATTCGCTAGCTTGAACATGGGGGAAGTATTAGGCGGGAGGCTCGTCTGTTAGTGAAAGGCGAGAAATCTCAGGCGGGAGCCCTCTCCCCCTATGAAGCCCGCGCTTCATTTTTTTTTTTTTTTTTTTTTTTTTTTTCATCCGCGCGGGTCATCCTCGAACCTGTAACTGTTGTCACCCTTAGGCTCCTGAAGCCTGAGTATGGGAGACGTATCAGGCGGGAGGCTCGTCTGTGAGTGAAACGCGAGAAGGCTCAAGCGGGAACCCTCTCCCTATGAGGCCCGCGCTTCATGTTTTCAGCCCGAGCGGATCATCCTCGAACCGAGCGGATCATCCTCGAACCTGTAACTGTCGTCACTTTTGGGCTCCTGAGGCCTGAATATGGGGGACGTATCAGGCGGGAAGCTCGTCTGTGGGTGAATTGCGAGGAAGTATCAAGCGGGAGCCCTCTCCCTATGGGGCCCGCACTTCTTGTGCTTCCTCCGGGTCGTCCTCCGGCGCGCGGTTCCTTTGAGTCGTCCTCCGGCGCGTATCCGCCAGGACGCACGTCGTGCGCTTCCTCTGGGTCGTGTTCCGCGCGAGGAGGATGAAGGAGGAGGAAGGAGGATGCAGGACGAGAATGAAGCAGGAGGAGGAGGAGGAGGAGGAGAAAGCAGAGGGTGAGAAGGACGAGGAGGACACGGAGGAAGAGGAGAACCCTAGGAGGCCCCAGCATGTCCCGCGAGGCCCAGATAGCTCCAGGAGGCCCCAAGAGTCCCCAGGAGGAGGCTGGAAGCCTAAGGAGGAGGCAGGAGGAGGGGGAGGCGGAGGAGGAGGGGGGGGAAGATGGAGACGAGAAGGAGGAGGAGGAGGCGGAGGAGGCGGAGGAGGCAGAGGGAGAAGAGGAATATGGAGAGTGGAGGAGGAGAGGGAGGAGGAGGAGGAGGAGGACGAGGAGGAGGAGGACGAGGAGGAGGAGGAGGGAGAGGGAAGGCAGCAGGAGGAGGACGCAGGAGGGCAGAAGGAGTATGGGGAATGGGGGGAGGAGGCATAACGAGGAGGAGGAAAAGGAGGAGGAGGAGGTGGTGGTGGTGGAGGAGGCAAGAGGAGGAGGCAGGGGTTAAGGCATGATGCGGAGGCAGGAGGAAAAAGAGGAGGCAGGAGTAGGTGGGAGAAGCGAGGGGGCAGAATGAGATCCCCAGGCACGCTAAACATATTCTCATGTGGGGTCCCACCGTCGGAACAATGTTGTTGGCCGTTGTTGAAATGCTCGTCTTTTCGAGCACGCTCCAAGACGGCCCAAGAAGCCCCCAAAACCACCCCAAGAAAACCCAAGAGGCCCCCAAGAGGGCTCCAAGACGGCCCAGAAACTGCCCAAGAGGCGCCGAAGACGGCGCGTGGGGCTCCCTAAAGGCCCCCAAGAAGCCCTAAGATGCTTCCAAGAGGCTCATAAAAAGGCCCCCAAAGGGCCTCCAACAAGCTCGCACAGCTGCCTCCTAGAAGCCCCCGTGAAGCTCCCAACGCGATCCCAGCGAAACTCCAAAAAGCCTCGGACCCACAACCCAGGCAGGGTGGCGGGATGGGCCGAAGGCGACCAGATCGGTCGCCCCCTGTGCTTGCCCAGAGGGTGCTCAGAGTGCCAGATGTCTGGGATTCTTGTTCTTTCCTACATAGCCCTCCCCTGGGGCTTCGGCCGAGCCCGCCAACTACAAGACGCGCAAGGACCCCAAAAAGACCGCTGCAACACATCGCCCAAAGACTCTGCAAATGGACTCAATATGGCGTCCACAGCGACCAAGGTGGCCCCACGAGGGCCCAACATGGCCGCTAGATGTCCACTCGACGGCCCAACATATAACCAAGATGGCCTGATGGCTGTAACATGATTCAAGACTGCCGAGGAGGCCCCCCAGCGGCCTCAAGAGGTTTTCCAGGGAGGCCCGAAACTGCCAACATCATGGCGTTCTTTACGTAATTCATGGAGTTTGGTACTCGGCCTTCCGACGGCCCAGGACGGCCCCAAATATCGCCCCAACAACGCCCAAGCGGTCTCCAAGATGGTCCCCTGCGGCCCAAGAAGCCCCCAAGACGGTTCCAGATGGCCCGCAAAATGCCCTCAAGAAGGCCTCAGACACCTCAAGGCGGCCCCAAGGCGCTTAAAGAAAGACCCACCACTACTCAGGAAGGGCCCAATACGGCCTCCGGAGCCCAGGAGGCCCCCAAAAGGCCCCCAAGAGGCCCTGAGCCTCAACCCAAGGAAACCTCAAGAGGCCCCAAGAGGCACTCAAGATGCCCCTTAGAGCCTCCCAAAGGCTCCCAGGAAATGCCAAAGAGCCCCAAGAGGGCCTCAAGAGGTCTCCTCTTCTTCCTCCTCCGCCTTCTCCTCCCTCTCCTCCTCCTCCTCCTCCTCCTCCTCCTCCTCCTCCTCCTCCTCCTCCTCCTCCCTTTCCTTCCTCTCCCCGTGTTCCCCCAAAGTGTCCCACAACAGCTGGATGGAACACACAGTCCAATAGCTTGGCCTGACTTCGGCCCAACGTTTGGCCGCATGGGCGCTTCCAACAGGCAAATGGCGGCGGTGATTCGCCGTAGGCGTTCTCGACAGGAGAAGATAGACGTGACAGGAAGGTGCAATCTACTATGAAAGATTGACGCTGCGACCCGCCCGATCACCCACCAACGAGCCAACCCGTCTGGGAACTAGTCGCCAGACGGACACGAGGTGAACATTCCATCCAACACATACTGCCTGAGGCGACTGCCAACACCCTCCTCAGGTGGGGGCTGGGTGTACGGGCCCCACTGGAAGAATACATCACAACACGAAGCTTGGAATCTGGTTCTCTGGAACTTTCCAGTCCTTCTCAAGTGAGCGCACGTCGCACCTCTGAAGAGAATGCTCATTCCACGCGACCGCGACGGGGGCGGAATATCTGCGTCGGATCCGTATGGGGTTATGGCCCAAGGCCCTCAAAGCCGGAACGGCTTGCAGGCGAGCCGACGGTACAGTAGACATCACAAGATCATGAAACTCCCAACTGAAACGCTCTGCAGCCCTATTCGAACCGCATCGAACTTTGATGGGTCGTCCCACGGCCTAGAGCTGGGCGAAAGCACTTGGAAATCATGGCCCCTCCGCCGCCCCCCCCCGCTCCCGCTCGCCTCACAAAAGGGGGCCATCCCCGTCCTCACGATCGCGCTCCGATCTCGCAAGCGCGCTCGCGTCTTCTCCTTTTTTTGACAGCAGCGCACACGCCCCTGAAAAGAAGGTGACCTTTCTGCAACGGCCAGAGGCGCACTGGATGGGCAGGTTCAAATTACGCGTAATCTATAACAGTGGGATGAATTCGTCAATGTCGACGGACACACCCTCCTTATCAGGGTGCTGGCCTTTACGGAGACGGCGCATGTTCTTCGCGCCCGTCACCGTGGGAGGGCCGCATTTACGGCCGAGGCACAGAACCAGTCCACCACTGCTATAGAACTTGCACGACATGCACAAGAACAGGTGGCCACCGTCACTGCGAGGGAAGGCAAGGACACGGTGGCCCAGTCTCTCCAACTGTCCCTGGTCCAAACGAGACTGCCCAGGGCACTGTCCTCCAAACGGCTTGGACAACGCCCGCGAACCTCGGAGGCACGCGCGACGACGCCAGCACGAGCCTTGTTGGGGCAAGTCGTGGACGAGCTCTAAAACAGGAGCAGCAGGGACGGACAGCGGCGGGACACGCCCAAGGCCCCTGGACTCTAGTTCCCCAATCAGAGCTTGCCTCTGTAGGGGTCCTAGCGGATTCAGATGGTTAGGTTAGGTTTGTCGCCGATTTTCGCTGCGCGCCCGGGTGCCCGGGTGCCCGGGGGTGCCCGGGGCCCATGTGCCCGGGGGATTCCCGGGGGCGTCCGGGCGCCCAGGTGCCCGGGCGTGCCCGGGGGCGCCCTATAGCCCTAAGCCCTATAGCCTTATAGCCCTGTAGCCCAATAGCCCTACAACCCTATAGCCCAATAGCTCTATAGCCCTATAATAGCTCAATGGCCCTGTAGCCCCATGGCCCCCCAGCCCAATAGCCCTGATAGGGGGTTTTCTCCGGTATCATTTC